CGACTGCAGTTCAAGTCCCAGACCCAGTGGCTTAAACTCACACGTGGCGTGTGTGCTTGCATGCCCAAGATACCAAGAGGAGAATGGAGGAGAAGGGATTGCGGCTTGGTCATCTCTCCTGGGGGGGTGATTTCTCGCTTTCTATCTCTCTGTCTCTCTCTGTCTCTCTGGCGAGTGCACGTGCCCTGTGGCAAAAACCTCTCAAAAAAAAAAAAAAAAAGAAAGAAAAGAAAAGAAATTAAATGAATGGTAGAAGGGCAATTGTATCTTGTTTAGATGTTTTACATACAAGGAGGAAGAGTCTTCAGAAAAAAATGTGTATTATGAAAAACTGTAGGGGTTTCCATTTCTTGTATCAAAATAAACTCATACTCTAATTCCATTTTTCCAACTTTTGGAAGTCTCCTTGTGTGATATTTTGGACTCCTGTGTTTTGAAGTAGAAACCAAAATACAGGTAGAAAACATTATCCCCTCCTTTCTCGGCCCTGCTTCTGCAGCAGAGGTTGTTTCGAGCAAGCTAAAGACAAATGCGAAAGAAGACAGTTCATTACAAGAAAGCCCTAAGCTTTGCAAATGAAGAACCTGGGCCGGCCCTGCTTGATTACGCAGGAGCGCTGTCACTCACACTCACGTTTGTCTTTTGCTCGTGGCAGAACGAGGTTTTCATTTGGCGTGCTTCTCTTCCCTCAGTTCACGGACATTGGGACCTTCGAGACGGTGTGGCAAGTCAAGTTCTACAATTACCACAAGCGAGATCACTGCCAGTGGGGGAGCCCCTTCTCTGTCATTGAGTACGAATGCAAGCCCAACGAGACTCGGAGCCTCATGTGGGTGAACAAGGAGTCCTTCCTCTGAAGACGGCTCTTGCTGATGTTGCTGGACAATCTCTTCAGAAAACTACTTCTAGATAAACCAGCACAAGCCTTAACCAAGGCACACCGCGCCGTTGCTGTTTCCCATCTGGTACCAATGACCTACTAGCCCAGATTGTTTCGAAAGTGTAATTCCCCTTGGATACGATGTCCCCGAAGTAAGAGATCTGTGATGTACCACCCGAGAAATACTCCTTTTTGTATTTTGTGCTGGTCTTCCTGCATCTAACCGTCCTCGGCTGCTCATTGCTTGTGACTGAAGCTCGTGGAGTTTCCTGTCCAATACGTGCGAGTTCTATTGAATGACTGTGGTGTTTTGTTTCCAAATGGAGTGATTCCCTCTTTTTTGTTTCTACGTTAAGTTTTCAAAATAGCAACGTACATGAGTCCCCCTGTGTGTGACATGGTGGTAGTGGGTGCCCTGCAATGTTTGCCAGAGTTCAGAACAGGCTTTGTGAAAATGTAATTCCAACAGCAGGGAACGGGACTCAAACCTTGTGCTCTTCCTATAAGCAGCTCAGCTTTTTCAGGGAAGGATAATGACCTACTAAAAGAACAAACACTTAAAAAGTATTTATCATGTATTAAAATCCCTTCAAGTAACTTAAGTTGTAGTGCCATGGCCTTGTGGGGGGGGGAAAGTACTGCTATGGACCCCTGGTTTAAAAATAAATTAAAAAGTGACAGGAGTGCAGGGTCACCCCTTTGGCAAGGCACTCTAGTGTTCAAACATGCTCATGGATGGCATTCCTACGTTTCCCTTCTTTGAACTTTGTAAAACTGTGGATGGAACTGTAATCAACTTTTGATATTTCTTAATAAAGGCATTGAAAACCATGCCCTGACTTGTATTCTTCATTTGAGCATCAGCTATGTAGCAAGTGGACCACTGCTTCAGCTCCACTCAGACCTTTGTGCTGCAGGACAGGAGAATGAACCTGGAGTAGGATTAGCACACCTGCTCGTGGATCATCACCCACCATCTAACGGAAGTGCTCGGACCAAGTCTAAGAGAGCCAGCACATGACCAGGTACTTAGTCAGCAATTAGAAAATGCTTGTCCCAGGCTGGCTTCTTGGCCTGCTGCTTAAGGCAGCCAGAGCCTCCATGACCAACCGCTTGGTTGGAATCCCAGTCCCAGCAGCTTGAGAAACACATTCCTCACATGTGTGTGCATGCCCCAAATCCCAAAATGAGGGAGAGATAGAGAAGGGATTGCAGCATGACCATGTTTCATGGAGGTGGGGGGTGCTTTGTCCTCTCTCTCTCTGTCTATCTGTCTCTCTCTCTCTCCAGTGAGCTCATACACACTCTGGCAAAAACAAACAAACAAACAAACAAACAAAACAAACCACCTGTCCTATCCTTGCTCCATTTCTCCCCCTGTGGTGGCCACTAACCACGCTAGCCAGCTTTGTAGCTCAGTAGCAGGAGGGTATGGCGCCATGACTGCATGTATACCAGATCTGAAACCTTCTTGCCTGCTTCTGGGGTGTTCAAGATACCTGGCACAAAGCCTGAACTGCATGCAGTTTGAGGATGAATTCCATAAAAAGGAACTCTTTTGAAAAGGAATATACTAATTTGCACAATGTTATAATATATACTCAGCACGAATCCTTAGCTTACCTGCAGTGAGGCTGTACAGCCACCAGGGCACAGCACTGCCTTGGCTTTGTACCAACCAGAAATGGTGCTAAAGACAGCCCAGCTCTTCTGCCAGTAGGTGGTGTGAAAGTGAAGGCAGCTGGATCCCACATTGTTGATTGTGTGGTTTGCGTCCTAGATAGTTCTCAAGCACCATTTAAAAAAAAAAAAAGGTATGTTTTACAATTACTAAATATATGCACTAATTAATTACTAAGTTTTACAAATCAACATTCAAATTACTTGAAGAGACATTGACATATTTAAAGCATATTTAAAGCAGTGGATTTGTTACAGAGGCTTCGGTTTGGACGTTAGATATTCTTGTGGACAGAATATCTAATAGAAAAATGGATAATTAGAAGGTGGAAAAAATGTAAAAACTACGCATTTTGATATACTTAAGCATTTGACTAATAAATATTTTCATTGTGAAACAAGAAGCTTGAGCCAGCGACTCCACTATCACAGATGTGGTATTTGTTTTGAGGGTGGAAGTAATACCTTGGCTTTTGCAATATTCCACCCTTTTTTTTCTTTCTTCCTTCTTTTTTCTCTCTCATATATTTCGAGTTTGAAATGAGACAAGGCAGGGCTGGGAAATGTGGTCTGGTGTGACAGCACACACCCTCCCACAGATGAGCAGGAAGATGAGCCCTGGATGAAAAGGTGGAGTGTGTGTTTGAATAACACCCTGCATGAGTCGAAGGGGTCACTTCACCTTACTCTGTTTCGGTGTGCTTGTTTCTAAACCAAGGGGTTGGACTAGCATTCTAAAACCTTTCACTATGTATGATTTTTTTTGCCTCTTTGTTTTTCTTCTCAAAAAGCGCACGTGGTGTGTATTCCCTCGGAGTCCGAGGTAAGACGGAATCAGGGGACGTGGGGAGGGGATGGAGCTGAAGTAACAGGAAATCTTCGCAGCTAATCTGCACGTTAAGTGATCTCTCCTGGCATATACCGTTCCACTTATGATTGGACTCAAGCCCAGCCTCTCTGGCTACTTCTTGCATAGCTCTCCTCCTACTCCAAAATTTGAGTGCTCAGCCATATCAAGCTGCTGAGTTGTAACTTTGCCCCTCAGCCATCTGGAAGGGCTATTTTTATACAAGTTGTAGCCACGTCTCTCTACTTCCAAGCATCAGATGGCTACCCAGAAGCTTGAAGAACTAGGCCATCCTTCTAATTACGATGATGACTAAAACACTTTTGAACAGGTGGAAGAATAGAAATGCCTTGAATTTGTATTTTGTGACACCTCGCTTATTGAGAAGTCACTTACCCAGCAATCTGAACTATCTGGATCACGGTTGAGATCAGAAAACATGCCAAAACATAGAGATTCCTGTCACAGATGTCACCAAGTCCGTTCACTAGTACCTTGGGTCTTCACGCAAGGCCTCAGGACTCTTATTTCAGGCACAGTTATAACATGTGGGGTGATATTACTTCTGGCTCTTAGGAAACTGAAAACAGTAATTATAGGAAAGAAGGCAATTTGTAAAGGTAGATATACTAAAAATAGTTTTTTAATAGGGATGATATAGGGGTTGGCAGGTGGCATGGTGGTCGGAGGTGCTGGATTCCCACATGGCCGACTGCGGTTCAAGTCCCAGACCTGGTGACTTGCTTTCTTTCTTTCCCTTTCTCTCCTCTGTCTCTCTCTGGTCAAATTAAAAAGAAGAAGAAGAAGGAAGAAGAAGAAGAACATATGGAATAAAAAAATAAATAATTCTAAAAAAAGGAATGATAAAAAATGTAAAACTCAGAGAAGGTACATTAAAAAGTATAACAGATAAGGATAAACCAATATAATAGGGGCATAATTCTGTATTAAACTGCAGTAGTAGATGTTAAATAACATTTATACGTGTAGTAGTGGCCCTGATTCCTTCAGGAAGGGAGTCCAATATCTTCAGAAATGGGTCATTAGGGTTCAGTGTCTGAGAGTTCAGATTTGGGAGCCAAAGTACTCTGAATTCTGGCTTAGTTGCTAATTAGTTGTGTGGGCTTAGGCAGGTCACACAGTATGTCTCAATGTCTTCATCTGGAAAATGAAGATAATAATAGTATTTACCTTGTGGAGTGATTTTTGAGGATTATATAAGTTAATCCTCAGAACAGTGCCTGGTATGTAACATTATGATTTGGTACATTTTGTTTAAAAAAATAAAAGGAGGACTATGTTTTCTGGCCGACCCAGGAGGAATATATTTTTTAACAAAATCATTTAAAATGCCAAGAGAAATACGGAAGGGGCTTTAAAGAATAAAATTCATTATCCTAGAATATCCATAAATGGATTTGAAATAACAGCCAAAGATTATCATCTATTCATATACCCAAAAAATACATGTGTGTGAATGTTTTTAATTATTTAGAGATAAGTAGTACAAAGTATATCTTCAGATATGTTAGGAAATGACTTTCTCAATAAATAAGCTCCCTAAAGGCTCTTTTATAAAGACCTAGTTTTGAATAATATGCAAACATCAGGACAGAATAAGAAAATTTAGTATTGGTAAATCAATAATGACATCAACGTTTCTATTTGTTATTTCTTTTCATCTTCCTAATAACCCTGTGAGGTAGCCAGCATGTATTGGATTGTCAGGGAAGTCATGATGCATTTTTGCATAGGAAAATACATCTTGACTTTTCTGACCACCGGATACCTCCATGTTACTGGGGAAAAACAAGTGTCAGAGATTAAAAAATAAAGCTCAGGACCAGCAGGTGGTGTAATGGTTAAGACGCTGGACTCCTACATGGCCAACCACATTTCGAATCCTGGACCTGGTGGCTTGAGACTCATACCATGGGGCCAGAAGATGGTACAGTGTATACATTGCTGGACTCCCTCAAGGTTGACCACAGTTTGAGTCCTGGACCCAGTGGCTTGAAAATCACACCAGGCATATATGCATGTGTGCCCAAGATCCCAAGAGGAGAATGGAGGAGGGATGGCAGCGTGACCATTCCCCGGTGGGGGGAT